TCCTCCAGCTCCCCTATGCGGTGCCTGAGCCGGGGCAGGCAATGTGGGCAGCAGGCAGCTGAGATGTGTCAGCAGCCTGGACGCAGAGCAGGGCCCGGCTCCTGGTAGAGAGGGAGCGGGCTGGGGCACACAGCAGAACCTCTGGCCACGTGGGCAGGTGGCTCAGCCCAGGAGCCATCGACAGAGAGAATCCGTTGTGTGTTCACAGCCCCGTGATCCTGGATCCAGCCGACCCGACGGGAATCTTGGGGCAGGGAAAGAGCTGGGACCTGCTGGCGAGAGAAGCCGCCGTATGCCGGGACCAGCTGTGCTGTAGGAACGGCCTCGCCCCCATCCGCTGCTGGGACGTGCAGGTACCGACGCCTCGCAGGGCCCCTTCCCACCCCCACCTGTGATGAGCTCTTCCCTGTTCAGAGCCTCCCGAGCATGGAGTAGCCGGGAGGTCCCCCCATGGCCCCTGCTCCTGCCCCACTCCCCACAGCGCCCCCTGCTGGGAGAAGCTGGGACTGGCGTAGCCGGGAGCTCCCCCCACAGCCAGTGCTCCTGCCCTCTCCCCACAGCACCCCCTGCTGGGAGAGGCTGAGGCTAAAATTGCTGCCCCTGCCACAGCCAGCACTCCTGCCCCCTCCCCACAGCACCCCCTGCTGCGGAGGCTGGGGCTGGTGTAGCTGGGAGCTCTCCCACAGCCAGTGCTCCTGCCATGCTACCCACAGTGCCCCCTGCTGGGAGCGGCTGGGGCTGGAGTAGCCAGGAGCTCTCCCCACAGCCAGCGCTCCTGTGCCACCCCACAGCGCCCCCTGCTGGGAGAGGCTGGGGCTGAAATAGCTGGGAGATTCCCCTCCCCCCACAGCCAGCACTCCTGCCCAGCTCCCTGCTACAGAATCTGATGGGACCAGAGGTGCAGAAAACGTTCATGTTGGGATTCCACTCCCCAGCCGAGGTTACTATGCCAGGGTGCCGTTAGAGGTTCACCGCTGCCCCACCTGGGCTGTCCTATCCCCACCCATGCCCGTCTCCTTGTCTCTATTCCAGCCAGCCAGACCCATGCAGGTGATGGTGAAGCAGCTCTCAGGGGTCAGCCTGGCCCTGCGGCTGAGCCCATACACTACCCTATGGGAGATTAAGGAGGAGCTCGAGCGTGCATGGGGCATCTCTCCCTACACGCAGCGCCTGGCCCTGCAGGAGCCTGGCCTGGGAAACCAGCTGCTCCTGGACGATCAGACCCTGGCATCACACGGCATCTTCTACGACACCACGGTTCTGATGCTCAGGACCGAGCCCCAGGAGATGGAGATCTTCGTGAAGGACCATAACAGTAGAACCATCCCCTATGGCGTCCACGTCAGTGACACCGTCCTGGGTCTGAAGAAGAAGATCGAGGATCGCACGGGTGTCTCCGCCAGCCAACAGCGCCTGACGTTCAACAGCAAAGAGCTGCAAGACGACTACACGCTTGCCCATTACAGGATCCGGAGCAAGAGCACGGTCTACCTGCTTTTGCGCCTCAGGGGTGGGTAAGATGCTCACTGGGTCACTGGGACCTGCACCCCGGCAGAGAGAGCATCACAGTGGACTATGTTTCCCAAGATTCTTTGCATGATAATTCAGGGCTTTGCTAATGCCCCCCACGTTCCAGAATCAGCACCGCGTCCTTCTGTAGTGCCAGCCCATCCCCATGCCTCCTGCTGCAGCTCCTGGGAGCTCTTTCCTGCCGCTCCATAGCCCGTTTCAGGATGTACTGCCCCCAGTGCAGAGTTGGGTGCTGGGCACCCACCAGACATTGTTCATTAGTCCCCTTCCTCCTCCCTGTCCTCCTAGGCTGAGTCTTAGAACCGGATCCCAAAATGCCACCCTCTCAGCTTGAGGCTGGCGACAGAGGCTGCCTGTGAGGGGAAGAGCCCAGCTGGGCCCCATTGTGATTCTGGGCCTAAGGCCAATGTGGATAGGTTGGGAGAGCCACCTGGGGTGTGGGTCTCGGGAGCCACGGGGCAGGGTACCAAGCTAGTGCCCTCAGAGGCTGGGGTAGGAACAGCTGGGTTGATATTTCAGCAGCACCCTGAGTGCTCGCCAAAGACCCTTATCCTGCTGCCAGGCCTCTGCCACTTACTGTGTGGGTGACTGGGCCCCACTGCAGGCTCCAGCCGGTAGTGGAGGGGGAGATAGTGAGGATGTGGCAGATGAAGGAGGGATGTGGGGGCCATGGGGAACATTCATACACCCCTATCCATGCCCCCATTGATGACCACACAAAGGGTTAATTATATGTGGGAAATATCTCTGTCCTGCCTGCTGCCCCCAACACTTAGCAGAGACGATGAGCAGCCAACGGCAGGTGCAATGCCAGGATCAGCCAGCAGGGGGAGGCAAAGGGAAGCATCCAGCTTCCCTCCTGTGCCCGACTGTGCACACAGCAGCACTGGCTGCATCCAGGGCGGGGGGGCTCACTCTGCAGCATGGCCCCCCACATGTGCTATAATGTATATTCTGCTTACTGTATTTTTCACTCCATGCATCTGATGAAGTGGGTTCTAACCCACGAAAGCTTATGCCCAAATAAATTTGTTAGTGTCTAAGGTGCCACTCCTCGTTGTTTTTATTAAATTGAGAGTCGCTCTCAATCAGCGTTTGCATTGCAAATAGGATGACCAGACAGCAAATGTGAAAAATCGGGACGGGGGTGGGGGGTAATAAGAGCCTATATAAGAAAGACCCACAAATCGGGACTGTCCCTATAAAATTGGGACATCTGGTCACCCTAATTGCAAACCAATTGCTGAGAACCCAAGAGAGTAGGGTTAGGTCATTTTTGCTGCATTCCCTGAAATCAATTTATTCCTGGACATGTTTGGGAACAGACAGAGCCTGGATTTTTTTTTTTCCCCTAATAACAAGAAGTGTTCTACGTTAGATGCACTGAAGTACTGACAGATTTCAGAGTAGCAGCCGTGTTAGTCTGTATCCGCAAAAAGAACAGGAGTACTGAGAGCACCTTCTAGACATCGCCAGCCCATTGGCTAATGACAGAGAAGAGAAAGCTCGGCTGGAGGTCATATCTGTTGGATAATGTGGTATATTTGGGTGTTTTGTTAACTGCTTTTGCTTTAGAAAGGGCGGAAGAAGGGGAACAGAGAGAGATCAGGCAGCGAAAGAGAGAATTAAACAGAACCAAGGAGTGTGATGGATTATTTTTCACTGGCAATTTTTAAATCAGGAGTGGATATTTTTCTAAAGGATCTGCTCTAGTTCAAAGGAGAATTAATTCAGGGGAGTTTTCTGGCCTGTGTAATGCAGGAGGTCAGATTAGATGATCACAGTGGTCCCCCTTGGTCTTGAAGACAATGAAAAAGAGCAGAGGACTGTGTGTTAAAGGGGGAAAGAGTCAGAATGTGCCAGTGCCCCAAATCTGCGACCTCAGGTATGTCACATCACCTCTCTGCGCTCTGGTTTCCCTATGGATAACACTGGCCCGTCTTGCAGTGGGGCAATGAGAATTTACGCTATGCTGCTGGCAATGTGGGCAGGCCAGGGGGGTTGTAGGATGGTCCTTTCCAGTCAATGGGGGGGAAGGCCCCTGTGGGATGGGAAGCTGGAGCTACCCCGCGGCTTGGGGCTAGCGGGGCTTAGCCAGTTCCTGCGCACCCATGGCCAGCACAGCCTGACCAAGACAGCAGTTCTTTGGGACTCACAGTGGGGGAGCAGTGATGGGGCTGGCAGATGTGTTTGCTGGAGGGAGGACATCCCTAGGTTGTCTCAGTCCCACAGGTACCTGTGGGGGCAGCCCGGGACCCCCTCTCTGGAGTCCAATTTCTTCAACTGCTGGCAGATCTTCCTTACTGAGTTCAAATCAGCCAGGCCGAGTCAGTGCCATCCAGGGTCAGGGCCAGATGAACGCAGGGGCTTTAGGGGCTTCACCCCAGGGCCTTGGCCTAAGGGGGACCCCACAGGCCCACAGGCTGGATGTGGCCCCCTGCTTCTTTTCATCCGGCCATACACCAGTCCCCGAGCCTCAGAGCTGCCCCCACCCCACGGGGTTGGAGCCGCGAGCACCGGCTGACCGGCATGCCCCTAGGTGAGAGGCGTTCAGGGAATCTCTGCATGCTGCCCCTGCCCCCAGTGCCAGCTCCGCAGCTCCCATTGGCCGGGAACCGCAGCCAATGGGAGCTGCGGGGGCAGTGCCTGCGGGCACGGGCAGCATGCACGACACAGACCAGCCTGGCCCTTCCGCCTAGGAGCTGGACATGCCGGCTACCTCAGGGAGCAGAGCAGCACGGAGTCAGGGCTGGCAGGGATCCTGCCTTAGCCCCACTGCATTGCTGAGCAGGAGCTGCCCGCAGTAAGCACTTCCAGGCCGGAGCCTGCACCCTGCACCCCCTACCTCAGTCCAGAGCCCCCTTCTTCACCCAAACTCCCACCCAGAGCCTGCACCCCAACCCTCTGGCCCGACCCCCACCCCCACCCCCAGCTGGGGCTGCACCCCCTCCCACACCCCAATCCCCTGCCCCAATCCTGAGCACACTCCCACACTTCGAACCCCCAGGGGCCCCACAAAATCTAATAGCTCTCAGCCTACAGGAGAGTTAATCCGGGGTGCTGGGGCCGAGCTGGGGGGCTGCGCATTTCTATGCTAGCCGGCCACCAGATCCGTCCCCCAAAGCTCAGAGCACTTTCTTTGCTGCTGTCCCAGCTCTCCCCAGGCCGGAGCCCCCGGCCCACGCAGCCCCATGGCCACCGCTCTGCAGCTGACTTCGCATCTCCCCGAGGGCCGCCCGTAGCTGAAGGGTTAACACGGCTCCGGTCCGCGCGCGGCGTCTGCGGGGACTTGTAGTCCGTGTCCCAGGCCGCGGTGCCCCAGGCGCGGAGCATCATGGGCCTCGTAGTCCCGGGCGCCTGTCACAAAGCGCGAGGGCCGCAGCGATCCCCCCTCGCGGACTGCGCCTCCCAGGGGGCAGCGCGGCGGCGACAGCCGGCCAGTGCCCCGCCCGCGAGCGAGGGAAGATGGTGGCGCCGGCGGCCGCCGCGTGGTTCCCCTCTCAGGCAGCGCCTGGCCCCGGCCGCCCCGAGCCCGCAGAGCGCGCCCGGCACCGCCCCGCCCCCTGAGAGCGCCCGGTCCGGTCCGGCCCGCCATGCCCCGCTCCCGCCGGGCGCACGCGGCCCGGAGGGGCGGCCGCGGTGAGTCACCGTCGGGGCTGGGGGTTGCCTTGTGGGGAGATGTGTGCGCCCCGGGGGAGGTGGCTGTGGAGCGGGGGGTGCTCGGAGACGTGGCTGTGGGGACGAGGTGGCAGGAGAGGTGGGTGCCCGGGGGTGGAGCTGGCCGGTCGGGTTACCTTGTAGGGAGGGTGCCCTGGGCACTAACCGTGGGCCCTATTCTCTAGCCCCGATTTACTGAAGCGACCCTCCCCCTCCGCCGCTAGGTCCCTGGCCCCGCTGCCTGTGCGAGGGGTGTCGTGGCTGGGGTCATGGGGCCGCTGGGGCCGGCAGACTCTGACAGGGCTGGCAGCGGGTGCGGGACCGTGGCAGGGCTGGCAAACTGGCTGGCACCTTTGGGGTGAATCTCCCGTGACTGGCTGCAGCGAGTGGAATTGTCTTTCGTGCCCACTGAGGGCCTCGTGCCCAGAGACCACAAGGGGCAGGCTAGGTGGGACCCGCTCAGCCTCTGCCAGCTGTGCCTTGGGCCTTTCCAGGCAGGGCTGCATGTCCTTCTATAAACTCCACTCCCCCCTCAAACAGCGTCTCCCTACTCAAACAGATCTGTAGGTTGCTGCCCTTCCCTTGCCCATGTCTCCCATGACCCTGCTTGGGCTGCCCACTCCCAGCAGTAGTTCTGGGCTGGGCTGCATGTGGTCTCACTGGCCTTACTGAACTTACTGCTCAGCCTGGGGGTGTGGTGACTGGGAAAGGGGGAAACATTTTGGGGCAGGTGCTATCATTTTGTCCTGTGTTTGTGCAGCACCTGTCACAGTGAGGGCCTGGTCTGTGCCTGGGACTTCTAGGTGCTTCCACAGTAATATGCTGTTATCCTCAATGTACAGAGACTGTGGTCTGGTCTACACCTAAAACTGAGGTTGATGTAGTTATGGTGCACAGGGTGTGAAAAATCCAGGTATGCCAACCTAACCCCCTCTCCCCCCTGCAGTGTAGACTTGGCTAGGTTGACAGAAGAATGCTTTCATCGCTCAGGGAGGTGGAGTTACTACACCATAGGGAAAACCCCCTTCTGTCACTGCAATCTGCATTGACATTACTAGTTCCTGTAGCGTAGACATGGCTTAAATGACTGACACAGGGAATCTGTGGAGGAACAGCAACTTGAACCCAGATCTCCCAAATCTCACACTAGCACCCTATCCGATAGACACTGTCCATCCTTCCTCTTGTTGTGGTTGACTGAAGTCTCCTTAGCTGAACAAATCTTGCCTTTCCTATTCATTTAGGGCCCTGTGAATTGAAACAGCAGGTGCAAATACACTTAGTTCTGTGTGCAGTTCTGTTGCTGTTTTGTGCATTGACTGTCCCCTTGTGGTGATACTTGGTCAGGGCATCTGTTTAAAAATGATTAATTGCATGATACATTTACAGGGTGCTCAAACTTTGACTTAGTACTAAAAATATAAATCCAACAGCAAAATAATGCTTTTGGATTTTTAAGATTAAATTGGGGGCAGCAGGTATGCCTGCTAAATCAGGGCAGCTCAAGATCATCTTCAATATTGCTTTTCAGTCTGTGAAGACTACAGATTCCAGCATGCATGTTCCGCTTTAATAAAAGCACCCAGAAGTGTAGTTGGCATACAGCACCTCATATTAAAGATGGGGACAGCTGTGATCTGCTTTCTTCTCCCAAATTAGGTACATACTTTCTGCCAAAATGGAACCCTCAAATGTGTGTTTTTTAAAAAAAAAAAAGTTTGGGAACTGAACCTAGTTTTAAAGGTGAACGAGGGGGAAAATTGAAGTAAGCGGAGATATGTCCTGTGTGCTCCCACTAACAAAGCTTAGAGGGAGGGAAGATTTCAGCACAGGAGGAAAAAAAATTAGACTCCCATGGAAGTTCTGGATTCAGTAGAGAACATAAGAACGGCCGTACCAGGTCAGACCAAAGGTCCATCTAGCCCAGTATCCTGTCTACCGACAGTGGCCAATGCCAGGTGCCCCAGAGGGAGTGGACCAACAGGCAATGATCAAGTGATCTCTCTCTTGCCATCCATCTCCATCCTCTGACAAACAGAAGCTAGGGACACCATTCCTTACCCATCCTGGCTAATAGCCATTAATGGACTTAACCACCATGAATTTATCCAGTTCTCTTTTAAATGCTGTTATAGTCCTAGCCTTCACAACCTCCTCAGGTAAGGAGTTCCACAAGTTGACTGTGCGCTGCGTGAAGAAGAACTTCCTTGTATTTGTTTTAAACCTGATGCCTATTAATTTCATTTGGTGACCCCTAGTTCTTGTATTATGGGAATAAGTAAATAACTTTTCCTTATCCACTTTCTCCACATCACTCATGATTTTATATACCTCTATCATATCCCCCCTTAGTCTCCTCTTTTCCAAGCTGAAGAGTCCTAGCTTCTTTAATCTCTCCTCGTATGGGACCCGTTCCAAACCCCTAATCATTTTAGTTGCCCTTTTCTGAACCTTTTCTAGTGCCAGTATATCTTTTTTTAGATGACGGAACCACATCTGTACGCAGTATTCGAGATGTGGGCGTACCATCGATTTATATAAGGGCAATAATATATTCTCAGTCTTATTCTCTATCCCCTTTTTAATGATCCCTAACATCCTGTTTGCTTTTTTGACCGCCTCTGCACACTGCGCGGACATCTTCAGAGAACTATCCACGATGACTCCAAGATCTTTTTCCTGACTTGTTGTAGCTAAATTGGCCCCCATCATATTGTATGTATAGTTGGGGTTATTTTTTCCAGTGTGCATTACTTTACATTTATCCACATTAAATTTCATTTGCCATTTTGTTGCCCAATCGCTTAGTTTTGTGAGATCTTTTTGAAGTTCATCACAGTCTGCTTTGGTCTTAACTATCTTGAGCAGTTTAGTATCATCTGCAAACTTTGCCACCTCACTGTTTACCCCTTTCTCCAGATCGTTTATAAATAAGTTGAATAGGATTGGTCCGAGCACTGACCCTTGGGGAACACCACTAGTTACCCCTCTCCATTCTGAGAATTTACCATTAATTCCTACCCTTTGTTCCCGGTCTTTTAACCAGTTCTCAATCCATGAAAGGACCTTCCCTTTTATCCCATGACAACTTAATTTACGTAAGAGCCTTTGGTGAGGGACCTTGTCAAAGGCTTTCTGGAAATCTAAGTACACTATGTCCACTGGATCCCCCTTGTCCACATGTTTGTTGACCCCTTCAAAGAACTCTAATAGATCAGTAAGACATGATTTCCCTTTACAGAAACCATGTTGACTATTGCTCAACAGTTTGTTTTTCTATGTGTCTGACAATTTTATTCTTAACTATTGTTTCGACTAATTTGCCCGGTACCGACTTTAGACTTACCGGTCTGTAATTGCCGGGATCACCTCTAGAGCCCTTTTTAAATATTGGCGTCACATTAGCTAACTTCCAGTCATTGGGTACAGAAGCCGATTTAAAGGACAGGTTACAAACCTTAGTTAATAGTTCCACAACTTCACATTTGAGTTCTTTCAGAACTCTTGGGTGAATGCCATCTGGTCCCGGTGACTTGTTAATGTTAAGTTTATCAATTAATTCCAAAACCTCCTCTAGTGACACTTCAATCTGTGACAGTTCCTCAGAAAGCCCAGAACATATCAGTGGTTGTGTGGGACTTAAAGTGGCTCTGGCTTCATGCATCTTAAACCAGGAAGAACAGGAGGATGTTCCAGATTCTTTAGCAAAGTTCTAAAACATTTAAAGGATTGCCTTGTATTTTTGAAACTGACTAACTTAAAATCCCAGTTTCTGATAGTCTCCTTTAGATAGTAATGCCTATGCTTTTGTCTAATTTCCTCTCTTTTAAAAAATAGAAGGGTTAATTTGCTCTGCTTGCTGCTTCTGTTCAAAGGTCTTTTCAGCAAGGGAGAAACTGATTATATATGGGAAACAGAAACTGACTAATGCAGTGGCTCTCAAACTTTTTTACTGGTGACCCCTTTCACATAGCAAGCCTCTGAGTGCGACCCCCCTTATAAAAAGTGTTTTTATTGTATATGTTTAACACCATTATAAATGCTGGAGGCAAAGTGGGGTTTGGGGTAGAGATTGACAGCTCACAACCCCCCCATGTAATAACCTCGTGACCCCCTGAGGGGTCCCGACCCCCAGTTTGAGAACCCCCGGACTAGTGCTGTCAAATGCGCAAAGTACACGAGTAAATAGAGAATTTATTCTCTCTCATTTCATTTTTAGTCATATTATTTGGGTCATGGACCAAGTCCCATTGCGCTAGGCATTGTAGTAACACAAACAAAAAGCCTCTCTCTGCATCTTTTGTGTTAGTAACTATATAATAGGTTTAACAAAAAAGTTGACAGGAATGTGACCTTTTTTCAAGTTGACAGCGTCTTTTTAAATCTTATTTCTGTGCTGAAATCCCTCTTTCCAAAGCACATTTTTGTTTTATCTAGCTCTGTTTTCACTTTCCAGTTCGCTCTTAATCTTGTTCCTAAGCAGCATCCTTGCATGAAAGAATACTACAAGTAGGATACGTTCTGTTAGCCTATGTCTGAACTAAAAGGAAGCAATGTGTCAGTTACCTAGCCTGTGCTTGCTAGCTACTGGAGTCTTCTGATACCTGGGTGCAAACAGGAAGAGCTTCCAGGTGGGAATTTGTCACGGTTGTTATACAAAGCTGTAGCTCTTTTGCAAGCCACACTTGTTCTGCTATTTCTGTGCGTGCATCTCCTCTGAAATCAGGTACGCCATCTCATCTCCATTTCATGTTCTTTGCTGCTAGTGAAGTGCCCACAATGAGATCTATGCTGTATGCCATGCAAAAGTAGCCTGTTTCTGCCTCAGGTAGCTTAGCATCTGGAAGACATTGAAGACTAGATATGCTGTGAGATCGAGAGGAGGGAGCAGACATACCTGGATGTATTATTTTTCAATATCCGTAAAATGTAGTAGTAAAACTTCTCACTTATAGAGACAAATCTTTGAGTGGACAAATCATGGAAGCCGATACTGTCTGTCTGCAGTTCAATGACTGCTGGGGAATGCATTGCTAGCCATGTTTCTGTTCTTTGCGGACCATGTCATAGTTGGCGTTATGGGGGAATCTTCAGTGAGGTTATTCCAAAGGGAACAGCTTCAGTAAGTGGGATGAATTTTACAGCTTGTGCACTGCAGTGTCCCTGACCCAGCCTGGAGCTTTCCATTTTTCACAGCTGTAAGAGAGGCATGCCCAGTGTGTCTCTTCTGCAGGTGTGTTGGATGAGTGCACGTTCACCCGTGCAGCTGGTTGCAGTACTCCAAATACACACAGCCACAATTGTGCCAGACTGCTGTTTGCTTACTGGCTTGGAAGCCAATGTTGTGCAAACACCTGTTTGGTGTCCTGGACATTGTAGGATCACCTGGAAGGTCTGGCTGACGTGGATCTACCCCAAACCATGGGAAGCTCCTGCCAATGGCACAGCTTATTCTTTAGGTTGTGGTAGCACCTGGATACGCATGGTGCTCTCCAAACAACCAGTTTAAGCAACTGTGTTCAACAGGAATGTGAGACACTCTCCCACCAAAGCTGGATTTGAACATGGTATTCTCTAACATGGATATAACATGGTTTTAAATGTTTGCTACATGTAAACATAGGCTATTAACCAGGGCTGGAGTAATTTTCTAGGTACTTATTAGCCAAAGGGCTAAATCTAATAGCCAGAGAGCAATGCAAAAGATAAGGGTGCAGGATAAGATCTGGGGGCTGTTTTTGCTGAAATCCACAGCAGGGCGCCCTTTGCCTGTGCTGCTAGGAATGGGCAGTTCCTGGACTCTGCTCAGGCAGCCCCATCTTGGTTTGGCAAGTGGCCATTTGGCTAGAAGCCATTTTACAGAGACTTCCTTCTAAGGATCTCAGAATGCAAATCTGTTAGTAGTAGGTGGGTCCATGCACGCCTGACTGTGGTGTAAAGGAGGGGATGCAAAGGGGGCTTCTCTCTTCCTCCCCTGCTTGGGAGGCGTGAGAGATCGATGCTGAGAAGTGGGATGAGCCTTGCCATGTGTTGGGTGTATCATTAGACAATACAGAGCTGTCTTTATTGTTCGCCTGACAGAGCTTTCTGTACTGCTACTTGGCGTCGGCATGAGGGGCAAATTGCGGGCACTTAACCTCAACAGCAGCTAGCTGAGCATGTAAAAATTCGCCCATGTGCTCTGCAGAGCTCCGTGCAGAAGGTTGCATGGGGTGGGCTGTTCTCAGGAGTGGATCTGAGCCCCGTCCCGCTCCGCGTGTCTCTCACCAGCCCAGGGGGCTCGGGACAGGTTTTGTCTCTCGTTCGGGTTTGAAAGGCCCATGACCCCCACGTGCCCTGTTGTGAGGGACATGCTGACTCTGCTTCCCAAGAATTCCAACCTGCTGCCTTTCCCCCTGGCCACTGCATTGTGCAGCACCCTGCTGGCAAGTTCCAGGGGGAGAGATCGCTGAGAGGGCGGGCTGTGTGCTCAGCACTACGCTTTCATCTCTCTGCCAATCCGCTCAGGCACTCGGTGCCATGCTGTTCTTGCAACAGGCATGGAGCCCGAAGAATATTAACCTTTCAGTAGCATGTCACTGGTGCTCTGCTTGCTGTGATGAGTAGGACTCGATATACCAGCTGCCTTCTGGTCTTAATCCTTGTGCCTTAGCAAGAGGCTAAAAATAAAACCCAAAGGTTTGTCCCAGTTCCCCTTCCTCAGCATCCTTCTGCCTCAGCCTGTGCCCCAGTCCCTGTTCCCCTTCTCTCTCCTGCACCCCAATCCAGGCGTCTTCCCCCCCCCCCGAACTCCAGCACTCCTCTGCTCTACTGCTGACCTCTTTTTGGCAGTGGCTGCCTGCTTAGTTGTGTCGCTGTAACTTAATGTGGTGCTGTTTTGTTCTGGTTATAGCAGCAGAGGCCTTGGCTCTCTTCCCACGAAGCTTGTCGGCTTCTGTGTGGGATCATGTAAGGTGAGCCAGCCTCTGTTTACCACTCAGCTCAGCTTTCTTATGCTGCATCAGCACACAGTTTCCAGGGCCTGTGTGCCTCTGGCCTTGCTGAGGAGGTGCCTGATGCAGTCTGTGCATGCGCCGCACTCCCACTATGGGAGCCCGCTTGGGTTAAAGGCTCACTCCATGCAGTTCTCCAGCAGGGCTCCTCCAAACTACCCTCTAATATGTGTATAGCACTTCTTCCCCCAATGATCCCAAAGGGCAGTCACGTCTACCACCACTGACCTGCGTATGAGGGGGAGGGGTACAGGCAAACCCTCCATGCAGTGTTCTCTGCCTGGCCGCCTTCCAGCTTCTTCTGAAGTGCTGGGCTTTAAAGAGCTGACAGGTGTGTGCCGTGCTGGCACTGGCTGGTTTAACACTCAAAGTGGCATTAAGTTGTTTCTATTTTGACAAAGTTCCTAGCTGTGAGCAATGTCCCCCCTCCTCCAAGTCAGGCCTCAAGTGGGGAGGGGCAATAGGGCAGTCTGAAGGGGCGTGGATCCAGATTGCCCTTGGGGAAATACTGAGGCGAGTTCAGTCCTCACTGGGCTGGGCTTTCAGGGATCACAGCTGCTTCAGGAAGAGATGCAGTTGAAGGCTACCAGTGATGTCTCCAGCTGGTTTAGCCTCTGGAGCATCCTCGCTCTGATGTCCAGCTTTCTGCAGGACCCGTGCCTTTGGCCAGTCTGGCTTGCACTCTTCACCACTCCCTTGGGGACTGCCACTGGTTTGCTCTGTGGGGATGAAGGAGGACAGTTGGCTCTGTGAGCTTACATGATTAAGACACTTATCTCTCCATGGCAGCTGCTGGCTTCCTGTTGCTGCCCAGTGTGTCACTGAGTTCCCCCATCGAAGCTGTGCATGCACCACTTCTCCAAAGCACCGCTCTGGTGCTCTCATGCCCCAGGGCTGGCTGCAACCCAAGCTGCCCAGCCAACCCCTCCAGGACACACAACCCTGCGTGAGGAGCACCAACTCAGTGGCTCGACTCTGCCTGGCAGGCAGAGAGGGAGGTCAGGCGTGGGCACTTAATCCTGGACTTCCCTGGCCTTCAGCACTTGCTCCATCAACACTCCTGCTGCCTCCTCCACTGGCGTCCCCCCATCAGTCACTGTCCATGCACTCAGAGGCTGCTCTGGCTCAGCTCAGCCATTCATGATCCTGTTGCCTGGTTCCTGTGCTTGCCATGCAGAGTAACTGGTGCTGCTTGTTATTCATGAGCTAACTTGAGCGTGTAGTCAGTGCGCTTGGTCATGGTGCTCCACAATGGTCATGAATGGGCCCTGCCCCAAAGAATTTGCAATCAAAGCCAACAAGGGGGAAGATGGATTGGACTGAACTCTTAATAGCAACATACCAAGCTGTCTTGTGGCCAGTCTTGACTCCCTTCTCTCTCATCTCCTGCACCTTGTCCCCTTTCCATATGGTGCTGATTATCAGAGGCTCCAGGTTTCGCTTCTTTATCAGCAGGGCATGTCTAAACTGGGGTTGCTAATTTGCCAATATCCTCCCTTGCTATCTGCGTAGACACTTGCTGCTTCCTTATCTACATATGGTGCAAGCTAATATTCCCGTCCCCATCAGTGCTTGTGGCAATAGTAGCGAGGCGTGTGGGTCGCTGAACCCAGCCCTCGGGACAGACTCATCACCGGTGGGGATCTAGCTGACACCCTGAGTCAGAGTACAGCTGGCTACAGGCATGTGGCGCCCGCACAGCATGTTGGGAGGCATGGCACTTTGCAGGCATACAGCTAGGTCCCTGCCTGGCAGAGTTGGCAACCGGAGTTGGATGACTCGTGAGTGAGGCTTAATGGGCAGAGGATGGGGGACATGGGAGATCCAGGGGAGTGGAGGGGGAATTGACTAGATCTCCCTTCGCAAGCTTCCCTGGCATGTTATGTGGGCAAGTTCAGCCTGCCTTTGCACACCTTAAGCTACTGGCAGCTACAGGAAGCTGGGCTAGCTAGCTCAGTGATGGCAGATCCCAGAGGAGGAGGATCGTATTTCTTACAGTTGCTGGGGCAGGGTAGGAAGGTGATTAATGGGACAAGCGAGGCTCTCCAGGAGTGGAGTATGGGGCTCTGCTCTCTCTGGCGGCTGCCCCTGTCGACCTAACCCCGGCCCCCTCCCCTTCTGGTTCCCCAGGAGCTCGGAGCAGCGCCAAGGCAGAGTCCCAGGCCAGCGACGATGAGGCAGCCAGTGAAGTACTGAGTCACTGCAGCAGTGCCAGCGAGAGCACCAGCGTCGCTGAGGAGGGGGCCGGTGAGTGAGAGGCAGGGGGTGTGATGGGCGGAGAAGGGCTGGCTAGAACCTGTGGTCAGACAAGAGCAAACCAAGCACGTAACAACAGAGAGCTCTGTGTCTCACCAGAACCTCCCTTTTCCCCAGCATCTTTCCCCCCCTCCCCGGGGGGGGGGGGGGAATTCCAGGCCTCAGTTGTGTAAAGGACTTTAACTGATGGAGCGCGAGGGCTTGTCCCAGGCCCAGTCACTCTAGCTGACCATGGAGCTGCCTCCAGGCCAGCCCCACAGTGTCAGTGGTTCTGATCAGGTGTATGAAGCATATGGGTGCCAGGTGGCACAGCTGCTACTCTTCTTCCTGGGACTGGATGTGGGGGTTGGCACTGGGGCCCGAGGTGGGAAGAACGTGTCCATCTGGCTGCTCGGCGTTTGACTCTGGCTGTTGCTTGCAGGGAGTGATGCTGTGGACGAGCAGGCCCAGCAGGAGGAGGTGGAAGACAAACTGAAGGAGTGCATTGACAACGTGACAGACAAGAGGTGAGACGGGAATGGCCCATGCCAAGGCTTCCTCCTGTTCCTCAGCCCTGGCCCTTCCTCAGGGAAAGCACAGATGTTCAGCATGCTTCAGCTGTACTGGGAGCTCTCGCCTCCTCTCTCGCCCTTCTCTCCAGAATCCCTGCAATGGGTGTCAGTAGGTGCCGGGAGCCCTTTGCTCCTAGTAAGTGCAGCATGCTAGTGGGCTCAGCCTCCGTCCAACCCACCTGGATCCAGACAGGGAGGAGCCTTGAGAGCTTGTCTCGATTTCATCCCTGATGGGAGGCATGGCAGATAGGGTGCAAAGGCAGCTCCCCTGGGATCTTGCCCTGTACAGCCTCAGAGAAAGTACTTCTGTTCCTCCTCTAGCTGCAGCGAGGCCAGACTGGACAGGACTCCCCTGGGCTGCTGTGGAGCAACCCTTAGAAGCATGTAATCATAGCTCACACCCCCTTTACTCCGCAGCCCTGCTGGGCTGGGCACCTCCCTCAAGAGGTGTAAGCTGGCCTTGGAAGGGGTGTGCTCTGCACCCCCTGTTGAGAAGAACCCATTGGGATGGTGACTCACCCTTTTCTCAGGGCTTCCCTGGCTTGGGAGGTTTGTCAGCCCTTTGGGACTGGCCCCAGAATGTCTTCCCTCTCTTTCCTCCCCTCCCCCCGCCAAGCCTGCCTGCCTACAAGGAAGCTGATCTAGGTGATAAGTGGCTGGGGTGGCCCTTGCCAGCCTTTTCAGGTCCCTGCCTCCCCCTCAATGTCTAGCACAGGGTATCTTTTCCAGCACCAGGACCCGGCAGTTAGCCCTGGAGAGCCTGCGGCTGGCTTTCTCCTCCAAGACGCTTTTCGACTTCTTGTTGGAACGCAGGCTCACACTCACAGACTCCTTGGAGAAGTGCCTGAAGAAAGGTAAGGCTACCCCTGCCCTTCCAGCCCTGGGAAGGCCCTCCGTAGCAGTGGGGCCACCATCTTCCCTGCAGATCCGGCCCCTTGGCGTGAAACCAGTCTTTATCTGCAGCCAAGATCTTCTCCTGACCTCAGCAGATCATAGTAGGAGCGCCCACAGAGCATCAGCTGCAGGGGGGCGGGGTAAGTAGCAGGAGCAGAGAGACCCAAGGGGGACAACCAGCAGAACTTGCAGTGCCTTGAAACGAAACCTTTGCAAACCCACCTACCTTTCCCTTGCCTGCCTGGTAGGGCTCTGTCCTGCCAGGGCCAGCCCCTAATGCAGTTTAGGGAATGCAGGAGCTAACTCTGTCTTCAGCTCCTACAGCGGGAGCACTGGTTTCTTCACTCTGCTCTGGGCAGGTTGAAAACCTCAAATCTATCAAAGAAATCGCCTTGGCTGAGAGTCCCCTCCAGTCTCGGGAGACCAGCCCGAAGTGCTGAGCAAAGTTCTGCTTTGTCTGCATTGGACATTTGCCTCCATCCAGCAGCTGAGGGGTGTCGATGCACCTCGCTGCGTGTTCCTTGGTTGCATGCACGTGCCCTGTGCTGCTCTGGCGCTTGAGGCGGCCTCCCAGGTGGAGGAAGGGAGAAGATCTTGAGGCTGATGGAGGTTCTCTTCTCCTACCCTGCAGGTAAAGGGGAGGAGCAGTCTCTAGCTGCTAGCGTTCTCACACTACTGTGCCTTCAGATGGGCTCGGGCCCCGAGGGGGAGGAGGTATTCCGCAGCCTGAAGCCCCTTCTCATCAGTATCCTGACTGACTCCTCGGCCAGCCCCGTTGCTCGCCAGAGTGTAAGTAGCAAGTCTCCGGGACACGGGAGCCCAGCTGGGTTACAGGGGCGCAGAGCAGAGAGCAGCGCTGATGTGCTTTAAAGAGAGCTGTCTGCTGTGTGGAGCTGGGTCTTCCTGGCACCTGGGTCTGTCTTGGGTTAGATCTAGGCTTGTAGCAGGACTGTGGCTGGGTCATCATCACAGAATGTGTGAAACTGACCAGTGGCTGTGGAACTCTGCATTCACTTTCCACCAGTTCCAGCTTCTACAGGGAGGAATGCAGCTGCGGGTGTGATGGGGAGATGTGGCTCTGAGACCAGCTGAGTGCCAGTCCTGGCTGGACCAACTTGCTTTTGGACTCGCTCATGCTGAGCCTGCAGACCTGGCCCCTGGGAGAACAGACCAGACTCAATACTACGTCAGAGGACGGGCTGGGACAGGGTCCTCTCTCCCCTGAATCCTCGTTCTCTTCCCATCTCTGCTCTGTTGGTGGTCTCATCTGCGAGGCTGGCTCCGCGATCCAGGGGATGAAAGCATTTGGGAGTGGGAGGGAACTCTCCAGAACTGAGACGTGGAGGCCTGACCTTCCCCCTCCGTCCAACCCACCTGGATCCAGGGACACGGGCTAGAGGAATCAAAGCAGGCGGGCCAGCCCCAGGGATTCAGAGACAGGAGACCTCCCTCCTGAGCCGCCCTGTGCGCTGTCCCTCGGGCCAGCAGGGCGGCACCCCAATCCCTGTTCTGCTAGGAATCAGACTGCAGCTTGCCTCGGTCACAGGGTGCCCAGGCTCCTGACTACGCTCAATCCTTAGCTTCACGTGCCACGGGGTGCGGCTTTGGAACGTGCTAGAGTAACAGCCGCCCTCTTAGCCAGCACCAGGGTATGAACCGGGAGCTGCCAGCACTAAACAAAGTCTCTCCAGCTTGGGCTGCAGATCCAGGGCTCCCTAGCTGGGCTGTAACACACCTAGCCTCTCCCCGACCCCCAGAGGTGGCACCCCCAACCTTGAGCAATGCTGCTTGTGTGGTGTGCTCCCCCAAGGAGAACAGCCTCGGCCTTACTGACTTAAAGTGGTTAAGTATCAGCCCAGTTTCCTGGGCCCTAAGGGATCACACAACCCAACTGCCCCCGCTTGGCCTCCTCCCTGGCATGCTCAGAGGCCAGGGATCGACTGGGCCTGGGAGGCTGGACCACTGTCTTGCCCATAGACAGGTCCCTGCAGGGCATAGGTGACGTAACACTGGCAGGCAGCATGGGGGCAGCTTGCCCTGCCTTGTGCCTGCGTTGCAGAGAGAGAGCTCGTAGGCTGGCCACCAGCAGGAAATCACCCGAACACAGTCTGCTTCTGCTCCGTGCCCCCTGCTTCCTGCTAGTGTGGGGCATGCTAAGAGCCATGGAGGCCAGGAGCGGGGCCACATCAGCCAGCGCAATCCCTGGTGTAAACGGAGGGCTTCCTGGCCATTTCCCACAGGAGGGGAGGGGAGGCGCCCAAGCATAGCCTTAGAGCAAAGGTGCCTGTGTTAGCTCGTGGCGCCGGAGGGTTTTACCAGAGGGGTGGCTTGGAAGGAGTTAGGCACTGGGAGCTAGGGGCAGCGATTGGCCCTGCATTACTTTCCATAACCCGCTCCTCTTCCTGTCTAGTGTGCCATGGCCCTGGGTATGTGCTGCTACATCGCTGCTGCGGATGTGGAGGTAACTATGCCGTGGGCTAGCACCCAATGGGTGCTTTAAATGGAAAAGCCAGGGAAGTCTGCTCAGCCCCAGTAGGGTTGGGTGTCCCCTGCCTTCCACACCCCAGAGCCAGTTGCACCGAACCACCACTGCCACCATCTCAAGGGGTACAGCAGTTGCTACTGCTCGTCACATGGCTGCTTCAGGGAAGGTGGTCTTAGCCTTCCTTGTCTGCAGTGCTATTGTACCAGCCTGGGGGTCCTGCCTGGCTGCTGTCCCTGCCCTGGAAATGTCCAGTTCACCAGTCACTAGCTTTGCCCTTGACTTGTTTTGTCCCACCTGGCTCTGCCTAGTTGGGTGATGGGATGTCTCCCCTCTGGTGGGGAAGGGGCTGTGATCCTCATGTTGTTACCATAGCAGCTGTTCCTGTCCCCCATGATCAGACCCACCCTCGGGAGAGACCCAGGGAACTGGCTGCCATGTCGCGTAGGATGCGGGAGTCTTCAGCCCTCATCTTCACGTCCTTGCATCTCCAGCTGCTGCCAGTATTCACAGCCAGCCAGTCTCTGGGGCTGGTTCTTCATCTGTGACCAGGACAATGTGAAAGCACCAAGAGACACCCTCACCCCAGCAGCTCATGACTGGGTTAGGCCTGTCCAAGGAGTTCCTCTGCCACAGAACCTAGAGCTTCTGTGGATAACAGGCTGCTTCTGGGCTGGGCAGTCGATGCACAGTCAACCTGTGGAACTCCTTGCCAGAGGATGTTGTGAAGGCCAAGACCATAACAGGGTTAAAAAAAGAACTAGATAAATTCATGGAGGATACGTCCATCAGCCAGGATGGGCAGGAATGGTGTCCCTAGCCTCTGTTTGTCAGAAGCTGGGAATGAGCAACAGGGGATGGATCACTTGATGATTACCTGTTCTGTTCATTCCCTGTGGGGCATCTGGCACTGGCCACTGTCGGAAGACAGGATACTGGGCTAGATGGACCTTTGGCCTGACCCAGTAGGGCCATTCTTATGGGCAGACCCCGGATGTGTTGACCCAGCTGAGATGCTCTCATCAGAGGCTGCTGGGGCTCATTTCTGCCCTTCGATTCCCCTGGCCGTGTAACTCCCTGGTGTGCTCACTCTCTCTCCTGCCCTAGGATCTGGTTTCCTGTCTCGCCTGCCTGGAGGGCATCTTTGGCACTTCCTGCCCAGAGGAGAGCAGCTCTGTCCCCACCCACCATAGCCCCCTGCTCCAGACTTTGCACTGCAACGCCCTCCAGTCCTGGTCCCTGCTCCTTACCATCTGCCCCAGCTCCCAGATCAAGAAGATTCTGGACAAGTGAGTGACCTGGCAATGCTAAGGAGCTAGATGTGGGCCGGGAGTGAGCTGCCATTTGACCCTTTCATGCCAAGGGTTCAGAGGGCAATGCATGTCCTATTGTACCGGCTGGGTGGCAGGGGGTTGGACTGTGGGGCTGACTGAGGAACAGCTTGACTGAGTGGAGAAGTATCCCATCCATTGTATGGGGGGAGCTAGCCCAGACTCCAGCACTGGCCAGGTCAGTCTCCATTGTGGCTGGCGAGTAGCACAGGAGTGTGCTAGCCACTCTCCATAGGAAGTGTGGCAGGCTGGCTCCCTTGGTCTGTCTCCACCCCCTCCTGCCTGAGCAAGGCCCAAGAGGGTCTCCCCAGGCTGCCCATTGCCCTCTGAGATGCCCAGGCGAGCGCAGCGTATCTGGCGCTGGCTCTGCCTTGATTCCCCGGCTCTCCTTCTGCAGTCACCTACTGAAGCTGCCGCTGCTGCTGTCCAGTGACAACGTCAACCTGCGGATTGTGGCGGGCGAGACCATCGCGCTGCTCTTCGAGCTGGCCCATGAGCTGGAGGTATGTCTCGGGGTGCTGCTGGGGCTCAGGCAGGCTCAGTGCTCAGTGGGGCCCGTGTGGAAAGGCTAACCCTCAGCCGCGGTGTGTCTGCCACAAGCTGGTGGCCAGCTCAGTGCTGCAATAGCGAGGAGCAGAGGAGGCTGTCTGTCTGGGGAAGCCTGCCCAGGGCTCCTGCTGCAAGGGGGCTGGCTTGCTCTCACCTCTTGCTGTTTGCTTTCCCTATGCTCCTGGCAGGGTGCCTGTCTGTCCCCTGCTGCCACGATCCACGTCGCTGGCAGGGGATGCCCAGGGGCGTGGGCTGGTTATGTGTTCAGTGGGTGGTGTCCATTGGGAAGACTAGCAGTAGGACCTGCTCCCCCACTAGAGAGCCCTCCCAGCCCAGCTGCCCCTATCCAGGGAAATCCCAGCAGCCGGGCTCCAGGTTAACCCCCTTCTAGCACTCCAGCCATGGCTAATCCCTGTTCTCAGCCAGGCTTCGAGCTGTGGGGTAAATTCCAAGCAGGCTGCTCATCTCCCAGCCTCGTTCCCTCCCCCGCAGGAGGAGTTCTTCTACGAGGACATGGACCTGCTGTGCACCAAGCTCAAAGCCCTGGCCACCGACAGCAACAAGTACCGGGCCAAGACGGACAGACGCAAGCAGCGCTCCATCTTCCGCGATGTGCTGCACTTCATCGAGGTGCCCGCTAATCCCTGCCAGCCCCAGAGAAGCCTCACTGATGTGTGTGCTAGAACTGGGCACGCCCAGGGCAGAAGCCAGCCTGGGTCCTGCTAGAGGGTTGCTTGGCAGGGTTCTCTGTTGGGATACAAAGCTCTAGGGCCCCTTCAGCCTGTTACTGCCCTGGCCCTGACTGCAGGTCCCGGCTGGCACCTCGCTGGGATCTCTCTGGGGGTGGGGTCGTGCCACCCTGAGGTGACCCTGCCCTAGTGGGGTTGGAGGTGTAGCCCGGCAAAGGGCTCAGTCACTAAGGACTTTGAGTGTCTCAGTCCAGCAGTACCCAGTGTGTGACCCACTCGGGTTGCAAGGCTGAACATGTGTCAGAATGCCAAGGGGCTGGGGTGGCCGCCGCCAGCCAGTCTGCAGGGATCATGAAATAGTAAGTGGCTGGCGGCTATGTTGGCACCTCAGCTGGCCCAAGGTGGGCGTCTTCCCCAGGGCAGCAGGGCACAGGGGCCTGCGCATCTGAGGAGAACTGCCAGCTGGCTTATGCCAGTGCACTGTGGATGAGCCATTAAGCTGTGCCTGCTGGGAGCTGCTGGGGTCATGGGCCCTGCTTTCTCCAGTGGCATCCCCTGCTGGGGGCGGCTCTTTCCCATGCTCCTTGGCTGCATGTGGGATTGGGGGTGGGGGGACTCGTGTTCTCCTGGCGAGGCACTAATGCCACCTCCCTGCCCCCAGAATGGCGAGTGCCATGAGGAGACCATCAAGTTTGGCCTGGAGTGCATGTACGTGGACAGCTGGGTCAGGAGGAGAATGTACAACGCCTTCAAGGAGGTGCTGGGCTCCGGGGTCAGGCATCACCTGCAGGTACTATACTGGGAGCGGGGTGCTGAGAAGGTCTGGCTGGGGGGAAGTGGGATTGGAGACCCTCCCAGGTCAGGGGGAGTGTCTCCTGAACAGGTGCTTGGCTTGCTCCAGGCGACTGTGTGTGGCGGGGGGTTCGTTGCTGGGGCTGGGTGGGGCGGGGAAGTGGCTTCCCCCTCCCTGTGAAGGCCGGAGGGCGCACCAACAGGTCTCGTCTCATGTCGCCCTTAGAACAACGAGCTGCTGCGTGAGATCTTTGACCTGGGGCCTCCTCTGGTGCTGGATGCTGCAGCTATCAAAGCCAGTAAGATCTCCCGCTTCGAGAAGGTACGTCGGTCAGCGCCTCGAGCCAGGCCTGTGGTCCCTTTCTGCCTGGCTCCAGCGCCCCCTGCAGAGGCTGCCTGTGTCGCAGGGGGTGCTGGGCAGGGGAGAGCACTGGTTTCCCAGCCCTCCTTGAGGGGGGTCACTGAGCCTTGCGGGGAGGCACCAGGGAAGGATTGGCAAAGGCTGCAGGTAGGCAGAGCTGTGATGGCTGGGAGGACTCTGCCGACCCAGCTAAAGCCCATCTCTGGCTCCTGTGGCCAGGCTGGAAAGAGCAGAGGGGACAGCTCCCCATTCCAGGTGGAGCTCTCCCCACGAGCCTCAGGGGTCCAGAACCAGGAGCTCCCTTCCCACTTGGGGCCAGGTTCCCGGGGCCTGTTGGGATGGTGGGTCCAGTGCCAGGAGCTCCGTTAACACAGGACTGGGCCCGGACACCTCCAGGCTGTGTGGCCAAGGCACTGGGCTCTCCCAGCAAGTGAGACAGAACCCCACTTGGCCAAAGCAGCTGCTTCCTTCTCTGGTGAGGGGATGCCCCCCTGCCCCCGACTGCGCCGGCTGGAAGGGGGAGGATCTGGTGGAGTGCCCCGTGCAGGGATGTAGAGGGTTAATAGGTGGCATATCAGGAAGAAGCCACCAGCGTTGGCTGGGGATGCGGAGCGTACCAGCATTGCTGCCCACAAGCAACCCTGCCTTGTGCTCTGGGGCCAGCCAGGGTGGGTAGATGGGCCCTAATGGCATAACCCCGTAGTCCTGTACCTCCCCCTCCGGCTGACTGTTCCCTCTCCTCTCACCCCCAGCACCTGTACAACTCTGCCGCCTTCAAAGCCCGGACAAAAGCCAGGAGCCGCGTGCGCGATAAGCGAGCCGATGTCCTGTGACGGAGGCTGCTCCCTCCGCCGCCTCCTGGACAACCCACGGACTGCAGACCCCAACCACTGTGACACAGGGGAGGAGCTGGGGGGTGGGGCTCTCGGCCCTCCCAGCTCATCGGCTCCCGCCATGCCCCTCACCCCCAGCCGGGGGGGCTTTTAGACGTGTACAGACTTGTATTTAAATGGTGTGGCTGGTGGATCCCAGCGAGAGGGCCATGGGGCGGTTTTATTTTTTTAACCCAAAAAATGTAAGCGAGGTTTGGGTGTGGGGGAAGCCCCCTGCTTTAGCTGGTGATTTTAGCCTCCTCTGGCCACACACACACACCTCCCCCCCCACTCCTGTGCACAGCCTGGGGGGCAGGCTGGAGGCAGCGGGGAAGGGGGGAGGTGGATTTTCAGCTGAGTGTCTTGTTCTCTCCCCTGCTGTGGGAGCTGTTTGGCTTGGCTGGGTGAAGTGAGAATTGGCAATTGAAGTGGCTGGTGAAATGCTGAGCGTGTGGCATTAGGAGGGGCTGTTCCCCCTCCACTCTCCCTGTTCCTCAGTTACCCCCACATAGCACCTGTGTTCGTGCCCTGCTGTCCCCAATACACAATGCTTTGCATTGGGCCCTTCCCATGTGCACAGGCCAACCAGCTCTTCCCCTGCCCTTCCAGGAGCCATGAGCATGGCTCAGGATGTCCCCAAGGGGCCGTGGGCCATCAGGAGCCACTGGTTTGAGAGAAATCCCCAACCAGTGTCAGAAACTAACAGGGCCCTATGGGGGTAGGGCCACTGCTGAGGAGCTGCTGCTCCCCTTGGGTGCTCTTGTTTTGTAGGGTGGGGTCTTGGGGTTCATCTCCCATAGCGAGATGCAGGGAAGGACAGAGCGTGCAGTGGGGATTGCTTGCTGAGAGGGGTTGATGCAGTCCCTAGTGTTACCAGTGAGTGGGAGATGAGAGTCCGTGTCTCTCTCCTCCCTCCCACCCCCCCCCGGGAGAGAAGCCGGAGATCTTGGAGCGAGCGGCAGCCTGCTCGGGGCCCTGGGCCCCTGGCTGCTAGGAGATGAGGATGGGGATTGTGGGTGATGAAGAAGGCAGGGCCTAGAACTGAGCACTGGAGCAGGCTACCAGCACATATTCCCCCAGCTCTGTCCGTGTTGGACAGATCTCACCCCGTTAGCCAGGTCTGACTCAGTCTAATAGTAATTAATGGAGTGCACTGCCTGGACTAGCCCCAGCCCTGTCTGCCCCCCCACCCCAGAACTGAGAGAAACTGAGCAGGTGGGAAAGGTGAAACTCGCCATGCTGAGGGAGCAAAGGGCCACAGTGGGGGCAGGACAAGCTTTGTAAAGGCTCAATGAGGCATTGCGGGGCTGGGAACGTGCTTGCTTTAACCAGGCATTGTCTCTTTAAAAATCCCCTTTAGAAGTGATTCTTCCTCTCCCCCCATGCTGACCCCACCCCCAAAATACAGGCAGGCTTAGTGGGACCCAGGGCCGGCTCTAGGTACCAGCGTCCCAAGCATGTGCTTGGGGCAGCACTTTTTCAAAGGACGGCATTCCAGCCCTTTGGGGCGGCACTTTTCAAGGGGTGGCACTCTGCCGCCCCCCCTTTTTTTTTTTTTGTTTTTTTTTGCTTGGGGTGGCAAAAAAACCTGGAGCTGGCCCTGGTGGGACCCTACAGCATGTGGTGGGAGGGGAGGGTCCCCTGTTTCTGTAGTGCCCCCTCTTGCCTTGCTTGGCAAGTGCTTGCAGGAGGGGAAGGCCAGGAAACACCCTCCCTCTGCCCTCCCTGATGAAGACTTGCCCCTCTGAGGGCTGCTTTCTTCTGAGCCCTGTTGCCTGCCTGTTGGGGGGGGGAGGGGGCCCGCCCAGTAGCATCTCAGCTGGAGTGCTTTGAAGGTGGCTCCCTGCCTGGGGTTGAGGCCTTCCCTATGGTCTCCCTCTGACAGCACAATGGCCTAAGGGGCCGAAGCTGGTCCAGGTGCTCTCTGGCTAGGAAGATCACATCAACTTCTCGCTGCTGCTCTGCTGGACTGGGCTCTGCCATAGCCAGGGGGCACACAAAGCAACTGTGCCAGAGGGGGAGAAGAAAGACAGCAGGGGCAGAGCGAGGTGGAACAGGGCAGCAGCATGGCCCAGCTCATGCTCTGTATCATGGAGGGATGGGGACTTTGCTGAGGGGAGCCTCAGCTCCCAGCAGAGGCTCTGCTTGGGCCCAGGGCCTCCTGGTGCTGCTGTTCTGAGAGACGTCTTCCCCTGCCCCCAGGCCATTGGGGTGCTCACCCCATCCTACAGGGCTTCCCTGGAATGGATTGCTGGAGTGGTTTTATAACAGGGGGATTAGCAGAGATCATTAAAAGGCAAATGGCTGGGCTGCCTGGTCTGATTTCTGAGGTGATAAGTGTAGGGCAGCACCCCCTGCTGGGGAGGGGCAGGGAGAGGCGATCAGAGCTTTGGATATGGTAGGGCTTGCTGGGTTGGGATGGGCTGCTCAGGGCAGTGGTGTGCCCCAGGGCCATCTCTGCAGCTCCTGAGCACACACTTTCCCTGCACCAGGGCTGCCTCCTCCATGCAGGAGCCAGGCATTCCCTCCTGTCTGCATCTGGCAGTGCAGGATGGGACCCCTGCCCTCTCCCAGCCCCCTGACATGCATGCAGGGCTGGTGCCCCCCTGCCAGCCTCGCCCACAGAACCATCCTGCCCTGCAAAGGGAGCAAGAGGCAGAATTCCAGCTACCCTGCCTCTCGCACCTGTGCTGTGGCAGCTGCCCCTTGCCACTGGGGGGAGTCAGCGTGGAGCTCTCTACTGCTTTGTCTCATGGGTTCCATCCAGTCTGACCACCTGTGTAACACAGGCCTGAGCCCTGCCCCACTAATCCCCAGGGCAGAGCTTCTGTGAAAACACTCTGGCTTGATCTGAACATTGCAAAGGATGGAGAATTGACCATGCCCATTAGTAAATACTTCCAGGGGCTAAGGCAGTGGTTCTCAACACGGGCTTCATGTGGCCTGTGTGGTGGGGTCCCAGCTGCCCGCCTGGCTTGCACGGCAGGGTCCGGGCTGCCTGGCCACTGTGTGGTGTTGGGGCTGCTGCCCACCCCCACACAATGCACCTTGGGCTCTGCTCCTGGCCCCACTCTGTGGAGGGGGTGCTGGGAAAGGGGTGGGGGGGGCACTGTGGTTCTCAACCTGCAGCCCAAGTAACACATGGGCTGCATATTCCGCCCACAATGATAAATAAATTGCAAACCCTGGGTTAAGGGTGGGAAGAGACTCGGCTGATTCTCTACAGAAAAGGCCTGAAGTCCTAAACAAGCCCTCATGGGCTCTTGCTTTCTGCAGCCATGGAAGGTCAGGCTCCAGTGTCTGCCATTCCTGGTCTAACTGCCTCTCCCATCTGGGCTGGTGCCCCTCAGGCCTGAACCCTGGGCTCCCCCAGCCACCACTGGACTGGGACCCCTCTAGCACAGGCCCTTCATACCCTCCCCAGCAAAGACAGAGCAGCTTCAGGGTGTGCCTAGGCTCAGGCTGTTTGGCAGGTGCCCACACCTGGAGGCCTCTGACCATGGCCCCTCCCTTGGGGGCAGAACCAGCTGAGGTGGGGGCCATGCCCTGAACTCCAGCCACAGCAGCTTCCTGGCCTGCTCAAGCCAGCTGGTAGCCAGCTCCCATGGGGCTGTTGGAAGGAGGAGGTTGATATGGGGGGGGGGTGCTAGCACAGCTTTATTGTCACATACAAAATGTGTATTCATAGAATCATAGAATATCAGGGTTGGAAGGGACCTCAGGAGGTCATCTAGTCCAACCCCCTGCTCAAAGCAGGACCGAATCCCAACTAAATCATCCCAGCCAGGGCTTTGTCAAGCCTGACCTTAAAAACCTCTAAGGAAGGAGATTCCACCACCTCCCTAGGTAACCCATTCCAGTGCTTCACCACTCTTCTAGTGAAAAAGTTTTTCCTAATATCCAACCTAAACCTCCCCCACTGCAACTTGAGACCATTACTCCTTGGTCTGTCATCTGCTACCACTGAACAGTCTAGATCCATCCTCTTTGGAACCCCCTTTCAGGTAGTTGAAAGCAGCTATCAAATCCCCCCTCATTCTTCTCTTCTGCAGACTAAACAATCCCAGTTCCCTCAGCCTCTCCTCATAACTCGTGCTCCAGCCCCCTAATGATTTTTGTTGCCCTCTGCTGGACTCTTTCCAATTTTTCCACATCCTTCTTGTAGTGTGGGGGCCCAAAACTGGACACAGTACTCCAGGTGAGGCCTCACCAATGTCGAATAGAGGGGAACGATCACATCCCTTGATCTGCTGGCAATGCCCGTACTTATACAGCCCAAAATGCCGTTAGCCTTCTTGGCAACAAGGGCACACTGTTGACTCATATCCAGCTTCTCATCCACGGTAACCCCTAGGTCCTTTTCTGCAGAACTGCTGCCTAGCCACTCGGTCCCTAGTCTGTAACAGTGAATGGGATTCTTCCGTCCTAAGTGCAGGACTCTGCACTTGTCCTTGTGAACCTCATCAGGTTTCTTTTGGCCCAATCCTCTAATTTGTCTAGGTCCCTCTGTATCCTATCCCTACCCTCCAGCGTATCTACCACTCCTCCCAGTTTAGTGTCATCTGCAAACTTGCTGAGAGTGCAGTCCACGCCATCCTCCAGATCATTAATGAAGATATTGAACAAAACCGGCCCCAGGACCGACCCTTGGGGCTCTCCGCTTGAAACCGGCTGCCAACTAGACATGGAGCCATTGATCACTACCTGTTGAGCCCAACGATCTAGCCAGCTTACTATCCACCTTTATAGTCCATTCATCCAGCCCATACTTCTTTAACTTGCTGGCAAGAATACTGTGGGAGACCGTATCAAAAGCTTTGCTAAAGTCAAGGAATAACACATCCACTGCTTTCCGCTCATCCACAGACCCAGTTATCTCCTCATAGAAGGCAATTAGGTTAGTCAGGCATGACTTGCCCTTGGTGAATCCACGCTGACTGTTCCTGATCACTTTCCTCTCCTCTAAGTGCTTCAAAATTGATTCCTTGAGGACCTGCTCCATGATTTTTCCAGGGACTGAGGTGAGGCTGACTGGCCTGTAGTTCCCTGGATCCTCCTCCTTCCCTTTTTTAAAGATGGGCACTACATTAGTCTTTTTCCAGTCATCCATGAGTTTTCAAAGATAATGGCCAATGGCTCTGCAATCACATCTGCCAACTCCTTTAGCACCCTCGGATGCAGCGCATCCGGCCCCATGGACTTGTGCTCGTCCAGTTTTTCTAAATAGTCCCGAACCACTTCTTTCTCCACAAAGGGCTGGTCACCTTCTCCCCATACTGTGCTGCCCAGTGCAGCAGTCTGGGAGCTGACCTTGTTCGTGAAGACAGAGGCAAAAAAATCATTGAGTACATTAGCTTTTTCCACATCCTTGGTCACTAGGTTACCTCCTTCATTCAGTAAGGGGCCCACACTTTCTTTGACTTTCTTCTTGTTGCTAACATACCTGAAGAAACCCTTCTTGTTACTCTTAACATCTCTTGCTAGCTGCAACTCCAAGTGTGATTTGGCCTTCCTGATTTCACTCCTGCATGCCTGAACAATATTTTTATACTCCTCCCTGGTCATTTGTCCAATCTTCCACTTCTTGTAAGCTTCTTTTTTGCTTTTAAGATCAGCAAGGATTTCACTGTTTAGCCAAGCTGGTCGCCTGCCATATTTACTATTCTTTCTACACATTGGGATGGTTTTCTCCTGCAACCTCAATAAGGATTCTTTAAAATACAGCCAGCTCTCCTGGACTCCTTTCTCCCTCATGTTATTCTCCCAGGGGATTCTGCCCATCAGTTCCCTGAGGGAGTCAAAGTCTGCTTTTCTGAAGTCCAGGGTCCGTATTCTGCTGCTCTCCTTTCTTCCTTGTGTCAGGATCCTGAACTCGACCATCTCATGGTCACTGCCTCCCAGGTTCCCATCCACTTTTGCTT